GACGCGCCGGCTTGGGGGGCGAGCGGCCAGGTGGGTGGGTCCCCGTGTAGGTCCCCGCGGTTGACGTTGCTGTCTCCCCTCTTCTCTCCAGGCAGCATGTCGGGAGGAAAGGCCGCGGGCGAGCCCAGCGCTCCAGGAGCGCCCCGCTCCCTCCTCTCTGGCGCCCGGGGGCTTATTGGACAGCGGCCGGCGCCACACATCACCCCGGGCCGCCTTCCCTCCATCCGCTCCCGGGATCTCACCCTCGGGGGAGTCAAGAAGGTACCGATTACCTCGAACCCCAGGCTCCTGGGGTACAGCGGATGCGCATGTCGGGCCTACCGTGCGCCAAGCGTGGTGTGGGGCCCTGTGACGCTCGCACCCAGACTTCTGCCCGCAGATTTGGAGGGAGCCTGTCCTGCCTTGATGTCTAGATGCTGGAAACCAGCTTTTGACCTGGTTCTCAGAGGTGGCTGGAGGGGAGAGCATTCTAACTTGTGTAAAAGCAACTTAAAAGTGTTTATTTACTTTTGTGTGTGTGGTCACCGCTAAGAAGCCCAGGAGAGTTGCCAGGCACACGTTTTGCCTGCGCTTGGACGGCGTCTGAATGTGCCGCGGATCGGGGTGCGCACTTCTGGGCTGGAGGGTGGTGGGTTCCAGGCCTGGCCTTGGAGTCGCGGTGTCCTCTCCCTGGTGTTCATGGCCGCAGATGTGAAGAGTAGCCCTGAAGTAGGGAGTGGGGCGATGGCGAGCAGAAAGCAGCTATGCTTTTTTTAAAGATTTAAGTTTGCCCGGGTACATTCTGGTGTCAGTCCAACCTGTCTTCTGCTTGTGAGTCCTGGCACATCTGTCTGTCCTCCTTGAGCTCTTTGCTCTCTGTAGCAGTTTGAGGACAAGAGGTGAGGTTAGATCAGTTTCTTTGCGTTTAGAAGTCCCAAGGGTCTCCTTTCAGGAGGGAGAACTGAAGCTGCAAGTTTACGTGGGTCTTGGTGCCCCTTTGTGTGTAACTGCTGCCACCATAACTTGACATTTCTGTTCAGGCATCCTTCTCAGGCACGTGTCTGGCTCTGTAAGTCTCCGGCAACAGTGTGGAATGTACAGAAGAGAGCCATGGTGGTTTTGGTCCACAGATGATCCCCTTTGGGAGTTTTTCTTTTTCTGCAGTGCTTTGGGATCAGAAATGACCAAATCAGTGACTCCCGTATTTCACTTTCAGAAAACCTTCACCCCAAATATCATCAGTCGGAAGATCAAGGAAGAGTAAGTAGCTAGGCCTTCTGAATACTCACCCCTTATTTACGTGCTCTGAATTTGAGCCTTGTGGGAAATACTAGTAACTAGGTATGTGGCACAGAAATTTAAATTTGTGTATTTAGTTGTTTCCAACCTGGCTCCCAGCTGATTCTAATGTGCAAGCTTTAAAAAAATTCTGATGCCTGGGAGGCCTTCCCAGAAATTGTGATGTAATTTGTTTGCAATGAAACAGAGGGATTCTCTTTTACAGCCAGAGTTGAGAGCCACTCATTTAGACAAAGATATATTAAGTTTTCCCTTAAGTTCTTTTACATTACAGCCTTCCTGTTTTCAATGAATACAAAAAATTTTTACATTTTGGGGCAGTCTCTGTAAGTCAACTTTTGAGTTATAGTTTCAATACATACCCTCAAACAAGAAGATAAAGTAAAACAAACTGAAAGGACTCTGCTCACCAAGGAAGTGAGAAGAGTGTTAGACTTTGGATTGGGTCCTATGTCTCATGATGTAGTTATTGGCTCAGGTGGAGTGGAGATATGTGGGCGAATTAAGACCAGCTCTCCCAGGAAAGGTAAGTGAGTAGTTTCCCTTAATCCATTCTCTTTTCCAGACCCAAGGAAGAAGTAACCATTAAGAAGGAGAAGCGTGAAAGGGATAGAGACCGACAGCGAGAGGGTCATGGACGGGGCCGGGGGCGACCAGAAGTGATCCAGTCCCATTCCATCTTTGAGCAGGGCCCCGCTGAAATGATGAAGAAAAAGGGTACGAAAGCTTCCGGGAGGAAGGGATCAATGGGTTTCAGTTCAGACTGCCTGAGAGAAGGGCAGTGGGATTCCCCTGTTCCCACTTTAGTTTTCCTTACCCCTGGTGAACTGGGTGATTTCCCACAGGGAACTGGGATAAGACAGTGGATGTGTCGGACATGGGGCCCTCTCATATCATCAACATCAAAAAAGAGAAGAGAGAGACAGACGAAGAAACAAAACAGATCCTGCGCATGCTGGAGAAGGATGATGTAGGTACCAGCAGGCTTGGGGGCGGGGGGGGGGATGGGTCTTCTTTATGGCAGTGGAAAGGACCTGTGGAGTCAGGATTGGAGGAAGAATTGCTCTCTGATGTCCTGGAAGCCTGGCGAGCAGAGGACTCTTGAGTTAGAAAGGGGCTAAAGTGGGCTGCAATCCCAGTGTGTGTATCTGCTGGCCAGGCCATGGCAGCCACTGACTCTTCTTTGGCAGTTCATCGATGACCCTGGGCTGAGGAATGACACTCGAAACATGCCTGTACAGCTGCCTCTGGCTCACTCTGGGTGGTTGTTTAAGGAAGAGAATGAAGAACCAGATGTTAAACCTTGGCTGGCTGGCCCCAAGGAAGAAGACATGGAGGTGGATGTGCCTGTTGTGAAAGGTACTCTGTCAGTTAACATCTCATCTCCTTTTCTGTGGCTGCCCCCCAGTCCCCACCTTGGGCCTCCCAGATTGATGTATAATAAGCAGGTCCTCTCCCATTCCAGCTGTAAAATACATGGCCTGAACAAAGACTCTAAAGTCTCACTCTCAGAAGGTTCATGCTGATATGAGCCGGTGGGCCTAGCCACAGATACCCCTTATTAGATAAGTCACACAATTCCTCGATCCCTCTTCACAACTAGTGTTTCTCTGCAGCTTCCTGGCTGAGCGACTGGAGTGGTTGGGGGTGAAGGGATGGGTACAATGAGATGACACAGAGGGTGGCCACTTGATAGATAGCTCTTCCATTTGTGTTACTTTGGGCAGTAAAAGAGGAGCCACGAGACGAGGAGGAGGAGGCCAAGATGAAGGCTCCTCCCAGAGCAGCCAGAAAGACCCCGGGCCTCCCAAAGGACGTATCTGTGGCAGAGCTGCTCAGGGAGCTGAGCCTTACGCAGGAGGAAGAGCTGCTGTTCCTCCAGCTGCCAGACACGCTCCCTGGCCAGCCGCCAACTCAGGACATCAAGCCTATCAAGACAGAGGTGCAGAGTGAGGATGGACAGATGGTGCTCGTGAAGCAGGAGAAAGACCGGGTATGCTCAGGAATGAGTTGTGTGGAAATGTGGGGGGATCGATCAGGAAGGGAAGCAGCGACTGTAGCATGAAGCAGGGGTGTGCCACCCACGCTGAACTGCAGGAACATCATGTATCTGTTCTTTCTCCCCATAAGAAGCTTGGGGCTTTGTACTTCAACCTCAGTTATATATATGTATGTTTACTTGTTACGATGAAATACTTGAACATGTACATGAGAGGCCATTACCCAGTTTCAGCAGTTATTAATGTTTGTTTATTTGTTTGCTGTGGGTAATTTTTGTTTTGTTTTGTGGTGTGTGTTTTTTTTTAACCAGTGCAAGCAGCCCTAGGAAAAGGCCCTTTTTGGGGAGCTTATGCTCACCTTTGCTGCTGATGCCTTTCTTTGGGTTCCCTCATGAAGGATGGAGGAAACTGCTCCTTCCCCCCCCCATCTCTATACCCTGATTCTCTTCACAGGAAGCCAGGCTGGCAGAGAATGCTTGTACCCTGGCTGACCTGACAGAGGGTCAGGTTGGCAAGCTGCTCATCCGCAAGTCAGGAAAGGTACAGCTCCTCCTGGGCAAGGTGACTCTGGATGTAACAATGGGAACCGCCTGCTCTTTTCTGCAGGTGAGAGCCCATAGGTTCAAGGGCAGAGGCCCTTTAAGAGGTCGAGGATGCTGAGGAATCAGTGCTAATTGAGGGAGAAGGGTTCTTGGGATTATCACATTAAAATCAGGACTGATTGATGGGCTGTGTGGTTTTGTTCTCATTGCCTTCTCTGTCGATTGGCAGGAGCTGGTGTCCGTGGGCCTTGGAGACAGTAGGACGGGGGACATGACAGTCCTAGGACACGTAAAGCACAAACTTGTATGTTCCCCCAATTTTGAATCCCTCTTGGATCACAAACACCGGTAAAATGAGCAGATGGAGGATGATGGTGACTGCCCATGGCTGCTGCCTGCTCCAAACGTTTTGTTCTGAAATCTGTGCGACCCGGAACAGGCCTGTTTAGCCCACCCACTCCAGCCT